CGGTTTGTAGCTATCATTATTACTTGAATTATTTTCGCTCACTCTTATTCTGTTTCTGTTTCTTTTCATTTCAGTCATCAATTTACTCATATATTTTGCATTCTGCGCAACCTGGCCATGCCTCTCAATTACCTCGGACATCAATAGATATGCATCTTCTCTCTTCTGTTGCCTAGATGCAATTCGTGAATAATATTGTCATTTACCCAACTGATATTCCAGCGTTCCTTTTCTTTTTCTTTGATCGCTTTGTGTCTCATATTTTCCGTCTTTCTTTTTTTTTTTTTTTTTTTTTTTCTCGAAAATCTCTTTTTCCAAATTTCTTTTTTCCCTTTCCATACCCCTCACCTTTGCGTTATGATGCCTGATCCCTGTCGGTTCCACAGCTGTTAGCCACTGCTTTCCTTCTCATTCCCTCTTATCGAATCTTCTCCTACCATGATCTTGCAGTGGGTCTGTTCTCGTGGATGAATCCAAAATACCCCATTACCGTTTTCTCCCATGCTCCCTTACATTTATATTTCTTTCTGCAGCTCGCTTCCTCTATCCTGGCCGCCCTCTGTGCATATGCAGAGTACACATGCCTGGAGAAAGAAGCAATCTACAAAGTTCAAGGATTATTTGGTCTTTCTTAGTTGCGGCAAAATTGCAGAATGGTTAACCTTGCACCCCTGTCAAATATTTTGCCTTGGTCTTGTGCATATCGTACCAGCGCATCCTATACGGGCCGTACTGAGGCTTCCTGGAGGGTCTGGTCAAAGCTCTGTCTGCTTCACCTTTTAACTGCCACTTTGTACCCACATTTGCTTGACATATTTGGCCCTACTTTCCTACAATTGTCAGGTCACAGTAGTCTGCCAGGCTATCGAACTTCCCGAGCATCTTCCCTCTCTGTCTTGATTAGTCCTCCCTGTTCCCTTAACCCTAATTCGGAGCAACAAGATTCCTTTATCTGGTCTCTCACGTTGGGCTCGATACGATTGCAAGGGTAGCGAACGCAGAAAGACTGCTTCACTTCCCAAGACGACTCCATTAGGAGCCCAGTCATACGGTCCTTCTCCGAGTGTAACCCCAATCTAAGATTCTTTTCCCGTCTAAAGGAATTATATGTGTCTCTCTGGGCTTTTTGGCAGACCTGTTCAGCATGAGTGGTTACCCAAGGCGCAACAATCACGATGGCTCTGATAGCTACATCGTGAACCACCAGCTTGCCTTACCTGTTCCATATAGTCACGGGGACAGTCACGACTTTGGGGTAAATGATACAGGATCGTATCCTTTCCAGCAGCAACCATTCAGTACTTATGCGTCACATTTTGGTTCGCCCTATAGTCATTCTGGCATCACATCCAGCACCCACCATCTGTCACCACATCAGTCACCGGGCCATTCGGTCCCGTCAACTCCAGATCATGTACCTCTTCAGCATCATATCCAGTATATGCCTCAGTCACGTTACCTCCAGTCACCAGGGTTTCTCCCACTTCGTGATGCATTCAGCGAAGCAGATATTGAAAGCCAGGATTCGCAGAATGAAAGTTCTATGCTATCAGAGCCAGTCATTCCTCCACTGGACGGCTTTCCTAATGTAAGGGAGTTTGATCAGTTGATGAAAAGGTAGGATGAACCCCGTTCACTTTGGACTCACGTTATATGCATGCTCAAATATTTGACAGTTATGTCGACGACCTTTCCGTCAAAAAGCAGGATAAGGCTTTGATCCACGCCAAAAGAGCACGGAACATCAAAACTGTACTGATGGACCCCAAAGACACGGCTGTGGAATCAGCCCAATTCCGGTAATTCGCCCCATTGCAAGCGATATAGACTCACTTCACTTGAGGCTAAAGTTTATGTTAATCTAGATTCTGGGTAAAGAAAATGTTCAAGCTCCAAACAGTCGGCACCGGCACATCAGATGTTCGTCTACAATCCAAAATATTTAGGACCTTGGGTGCTAACCTTGAGTGTGATTTTCAAGTGCACGAAAATGATTTGCCATGAGGGAAAACCAGTGGCTATTCGAGAGAAACTTTTCAAAATACTCACTAGAGCACATCAACAATGCCAACACGGAGGCAGAGACAAAACATCAGCTCGAGTTAGACAAATCTATTCATGGTAAGCTCGCATCCCCAACTCAATTCTCGATCCTGGTGAGATCAGAGAAACCGCATCTTTTCCTCTTTACTCCTATCACACACATTATGAGATCTTCTCTTCCCCCTGCATTCTCTCTTTCTACTCATTCTCTCTACTCAGCCTCAGCAAGTCCCAAGTTAATCATTAGTCCAGGGTTCCAAAGGAGCTTATTTCACGCTTTGTCAAGATATGTCCGACCTGCCAAGTGCGTCGAGGAGGCCCGCGCTTGACACCTCCTAGTTCAAGGAGAAGCTCACCTCGCCTAGAGGTACTATCCCGTTCACCAAAGCTACCATCACCGCCTATGTCAAGACGTGATTCAACCTTGAATGGACAGCTTGTCCTGGAGAGACCGCAGTCGGACTACTTTACCCAACTTAGCAGCCATGGCACTTGGCTAGACAGCCAACGATCTCTACAGGAGAGGCAGGCCATCAGTGCAGGCCATGTGCGATCCTTCAATGGGGGAACGATGGGCCATCTGCCAGGTACACTCCCAGGCACCCTAGATTCGTTTCATGGAGATATGCCAGTATCGTCATCCCAAGTTAGCTACAATGCGGGCTATCCTTCCACGCACGGGCCGTCCAGCCATAGGGACTACTAGAGGGTGGTAAATCACAATAGTATCTGTTGTATGAACAAGTGGGCTAAGCCATGCAACTGGAAACTTAATATGGGATGGTGGTATGGCACGTCTCGACTGTCTTCTGATCGCCACCTACACAATCATTAATATGAGCTTCTTTAGTCTTCATAGCACTGTCCATCATTTTCTTACTTCCCAATGAACATTCTTATTGGATCTGAAACGCGCGCCATAGGTATCTAATGCTGGAGATTCGCCATCGCTACATTCACTCAACATCAGTGTCACCATGGTTGTCTGTGAGACTATGGAAAATGCATTGTTTTAGGCTAAATCGTCCTCCCGACTATAATAATTAGAATGCTACATGACCTGTCCTCTTCGCATGGGTCGGGTAAGCCTATAGCGCGTACCGACCAAGATTAGTTGCGTGAATATTTGCTACTTCATAAAAGTACCTGTCGCTGGACAACAGTTAACATTGAGTGGTAGCTAGACATATATTTCCTTCCAACTTTCCGCCGAATTGCACGGTTGACCATCCTCCTCGGAACTCGCAATACCGTTTATGACGAAACCAGTCACCATGTACGCCGAACTTAAACAGGCAATGAGAACTTCTTGCCCTTCATAACCCTGTATGACAGTTAGCCTCGCCCCGAGAACTCATAGAGGAAGCCTGTTCGCGCTCACTTGGTGTAGTAGATATAAAAGAAATCCGAATATAATAGTGTCTGGACGATACCAGCTACGACAGGGATGGGTTGAAAGTGACTCTCTGCAAAATAGCGATAGATCCAATTAGGGATGTAAAGGGCGCGATACAATCCCAAAGCGAAAAGGTAATGTGTCGTTATGGTGTCTGCCTCCCCAGTGCGCTGAAGCATGAAAAGTTGGGGCAAGATAGCCACGGATTCGAGCCATATAGAGAACGTCCAGAGAATCTAGTAAGGTCAGATAAAGTGTGACATAAAATCCTTCCAGGAGAAATACCTCTGAGACGCTATAATCATGCGGGAAAAGGAGCGCCAATAGAGCACTAAACCCTAGGAGATACTGCACTTTGAAGGTATCAGTATTGGGGTCATGCGTTGGCTTGTAGTCGTTGAGCATGAGGTAAATGATGTAAGCCGACGAGCCGATGAACAAGATTTTGAAAGTCGTGTTGTAAAAGGAGTCCGTGAAAGCCCAGAACAAATCTGTAACAGAAGTCCGTCAGAGAGTTATGCCTATATAATCGAGTGCTGAGGCTCCGAAGCTTACCAAGATAACGCGTTACAAAAACCATCAAATATAGCGCCTGGGACTTGAATGAAAGTCCTGAACAACTCTATATCCAGTCAGAAAAGGCTAAGAAACAATTGTGATGACAACATACACTTGAAGACTTCATCTTCTGTAATAGTATGAATATGGACGCGAGGTGAGAAAAGTCGGCTTGATTGCATTGATTAGCAAGGCGCGTCAATTCCACTGAGAGCGAACGGACAAGACTCACCTAATAACCTGAAGATATTCATGATGGCGAATTAAGTCAAATCACCTTAACCTCAGGTACGTAATGCAGATTATCAAATGCTTGTTCAGTCCAATAGAGGGGTATCAATAAAAATCGGCCATGGGAGTGCTTATGACGAAGCTAGACCTCCTATGTTATATGCAATTGTTCTGCTAGCAGTACTGAAATATGCCTAGATGTTGACACGAAGCCTCAAGTGTATGCGCCACAGGGAGCGCCCCACATCATGTGTGATGCCGTAATACAAATATAGCCAGCCACCAACAGGGACAGCGGGCAGGGTCCACGGTACCTGGCTACCTGCAGCAGCAGCTAACTACTTTGATCTTGATCTGTCTTAGCTAACCGAACACCTGCCCCATGTGAATCAATTCTAACTATATCAGGTAAGACAGAGTTCGCACTACCTTTACCTATACTCGGGGAGGGCCGAAAAGGACCAAAAAGGGATAAAAAATTAAAAAGAAAAAAAAAGAAAAAAAAAAGGAAAGAAAAAAGGGAAAAAGGGGAAAAAAGGGGAAAAAAAGAAAAGAAATAGAAAAAGAGAGAGAGAGAGAGAAAGAACTGGGAATAAGAAAGAAAACCATTACGCTTTTGGATATATAGTAGAAAATGCACATATGAAGCAACCATTACTCATTGGTGCATTTCTTGTAAACTATGCTCCACTGTCAGAAAGCTTCAAATTTGTAAATTGTCCTGTGAGATGAGGATCTTTGATAGAATAAGATACTGCGAATCACGAGATGTGCGCGAAAGCGGAAGTTATTATATGTTTTCTACTTGTTCTTCTATTTGAGACTGCAATGGCTGGTATGTCAATAATAATGTGCGACCTAATGTCAGAACATCGCACCAGCATGGACGCCTTCACCATCAGCTATTCGCTGTAAATGTCCTTCTGCCAGTTCACTCTTTAATGCACAAATAGAACTTTCCCTGTCAAGCCTATCCCAATCTCGAATCCCAGCTCGCCTCAGCTTCTGACTGTCCGCAATTTGTTCAAAGAGTCTGTCTTTGTCTGCTTCCAGTTGAGACAGGCGCTTTTCCAGGGCAATATCAAGTGCGGTTGGGATGATTTTGCCTTCGGGTATAATTTGGCGAAGGCCGGCAAGGTAACTAAGATGTCTCGGGAAACGAGGAGGGTAGGAAGGCCCGGTAACGCTACCTTGTCTGCTGGGATGAGAGCGGGGCAGCTCGACGCCGGGACCTGTTGACATAATACTACTGCGCGGACCAGTCGGTGGGGAACCGTGGAGTCCGGTAGACGCAGGCCCACGGCGGACTGGAGAGGCTGCCCAGGACGACTCCTTAAAACTTGGACCGCCGCGTGGCCGAGTTGGAGCTGACAGCAACGAAATATTTGACCCACGATTCTGCAACATTACTTTGGACCCATGCGATGGGCCAGATGGTGGTGTTTGACCTTGTAACATATGGCTGTATGCCTTTGGCTGTACTGGAACGTTGCGGGATTGGTATGTTTCTGGTTGGCCAGACGGTAATCGAGGGGCTTCAGGTACTCGTTGTTGGGACCTGACGCTTCCAAAATCCTGCCCATTGCCCATAGGTCGTTCAGGTGCTGGCGATCTATGCCTCGGTTCCTCGGGTGCAGGCTTGCGACTGACCGAACGGGCTCGCTCTTCTCGAGTGGATGACCGATCTGAAGTCCTTGAAAGACATCTAGGATGGTTCTGATGAGTTGGCGACCGGCTTGGGGCATTGGATGAATTCATATTGAGTCTTTCGGTAAAAGGAGACGATCGTCTTGAATTCGGAAGTGAGCCAGATGCGGAGGTACGCATAGGTGATGCGCCCTTAGGGGATACTGATCGCCGCTTCTTGTTAAATGGAATGTCCAGGTGGCGTTCCCTGCGTCCTCCATGAAAAGGGCTTCTGGATCTATGGGGAAGTGGTGCACGGTTGCCACTATCACGGAATGGAATGTCAGGCTTTGTATATATGTCGCCAGGAGGTTGATTCCGCTCTCGCCTAGAAAATCTGTAGTCATGACTGCGCGGTGAAATATCCCGGGGGCGTTTGTGGTTACTCCGATTCCATGAGATATCACGCTGGCGGCTCTCGCCATAGGGAGACCTTGAGCGCCACGAGGCCTGGTGAGGCGACCGATTTCGCACCTCACCTCGTCTGGGCGAGAACCGCCTCGGCGATGGACACGGCTTTGAAAAGGTGCCCATTCCAACTTCCCCCCTGTAGAACGATGGACTGCGTGAGAGGCGACGTCTTGGAGCCGGTGGTGAGCGACTACGCACACGGCCATACGTCCGACCATGTGATGGTACCCATGTATCTGCAACAAGACGAGGAGAGTGAACTCGCGGGGGGGATCTGCTGCGTCGTATATAAGCGCGAGGAGCACCAGGACGGTAACTCTCTCCGCCACGGAGATCATCAAATCTATTCGCGGTCATCTTCTTAGCCACTACCAAGACGAGGGGATGGGGGATTGCTCGAACCAACCTTCTACTGCGATCCCAATCCATCTTTTTCCGTATCGTCAAAAGTATGATCCTGCGCACTCGGTAGTTACACTTGATTCAGGCTGTCGGTTCAGTTTATGCTCATTTTGAAATGGAGATTGGTACATGCTGTACGGAACAGTCCGGATTCCATCAATGTACAGCGTTGTAACGGGTATTTAGTATCACGTGCTTTCCAAAGTCTCACCATTGGGCACGGGGACAGGTGCTATGCTTCGTAGCGCATGAGACCTTTAGTCTTCATTGTTTATTGTACGGAGATCACAGACAAAGCCCCGGTGTTTGGTTTTTCACAGGGGATCTTCGATCATTACATATGATGTGATATTGTCTACCAGCTTGGCCTTATGAGCCTATCGCAGCTAAATAACTTCTTTGACTATGAAGTCAATGTCCACCAAAATGTCAGTTTTTCGAGGTTTCAATGTTGGTGAACATTGCAGTTTTCGAAACCAAACTGTAACGTTCCGGTGGTCAAGGCAACTCCGGCCACTAGAGCAAATTCATGAATAATATCAGTGCAAGAAAGCTACAAAACCAATACCTAAATCAAGTTTGATAGTCATGCTCGATTTAACAACAAAGGCTGATTGAGATACATTATCTTTGTGCTAGATGTGCTTTCTTAATTTCCATGATCTTTTCGATTAGAGGTTCATTTGACAATGCCTGCTCGGCCGCCTCATTTCCTGCAATTGCTTTATTAGAACCCTGACCAGAGCCAAGGTGCTTATGGTTCCAACCCCAACCAGTGAGATATACTCCGATAAAATACGTCTGTAACCCCCTGCCGCGCTGAGCAGGAGGCCGTTCATCGATGTAATTAAGTTTAATCCCCTTGCCCATGATTTTCTTCGCAAGTGCTTCTTTGGCATGCAAGGACTTCGGCTTTCCAAGCTTTTCAAGCTCCGGAGACCACAACTGTCTTAGCCATTCCTCAGCCACACGATAACCATTGCTTGTATCTGACAGGACAACGGCAGCTACATAAGCCTCAAAGATGTCCGCCTTGGTTTTGAGCCATCTTTTGGGTTGCTTTTGGTAGTCCGGGGGTACGGAAACTCTGCTGTCGAGTCCGTACTTAGACGCATAATCAGACAAGGTCTCATTCTTGACAAGTCTCTCTCGGATCTGTGATATTCGACCGGAAGGAATATCCTTGAATGTGTCCCAGATGAGCTTTGTCGAGATAAGTTCTATATATGCATCTCCGAGAACCTCCAGCCGATCATAAGTAGCTCCGATGTTGCTGCTCACACCTGGGTGAGTGAAGACTGCCCTCTCAAGCACGTCATCCAATATCGGAGGTAACGGGGGCAAGCAAGACTTCATTTTTGCTTCGGATGTCTCTAGCGGCAGTGTCGCATCCTGAGAGCATTTAGTAGTAGACGTAATGGCACCTGCTGCGCGCTGTAATGCAGCGTCGAGCTCAGTGGCTGCAGTCAAGATATCGGCGTCGGTCTGAAATCCGCGGCTTTGAGAGATGCCTTGGCTCTGTATAATATCCTGAAGCAATGTTCTCAGAAGCACGACATTATTCTCTTTGCTTTGCGGGCTGTGCGTGGAGGGGATTGATTCTTTCGCAAGCTGCAAGTCATCATCGTACTTCGGTAGTGTTAGTGCAAGCCGGGGCACACGAAAGTATATGTTCACCTTTGCTTTCTTTTTTTCGCTATTGGAAGGTAGTGAAAACACTGATTTTCGTTTCGAACACATGATGGTCATGGCGTGAACGATCATAATTCATACATAGAACTAGACTCAGATGCCAAAGTATGGACAATGGGTTATCACGTGATAAGGTTGGTAGTTGTATCTGAACAGAAACTCCGCCATCGCTACCCTAACAGTATCCATCCGAACACGCCGTGTCGACAATGGCAGCGCCGTACAGCAGACTGCTTGATCTGGTCAAGGTATTTAACAGAGCGCAGCTTAGCTGGGATAATCCCTTGTCTGGCTTTTTTTCCCATTCCAGGCTAATCCGTATCACCCCGGCCAGGTCCAATGTCGGATCTTCTCGCTGAACTTCAACCCCGAAAGAGCGCGATTGGGAAACAAGATTCTACGACAGCGCCTGCGTGGCCCGGCGCTGGCAGCATGGTACCCGAGAAAGACGGTCTCGTTTCGTGATTTGCAAGACACATACAGCCGCTCAGGTCTAACAATGTTCGATGAGGCTGAGGATGATCGTGAGGAAGCAATTCAAATGTATGTTGCTTAGGAGTCTTTCTTCTAGCATATGCTTATTGACCTGTGATAGTGCGAAGTTACGAGGGAAGGGTCGACCCAAAAAGAAAAGAACGGCTGCAGGTAAGGTTCAAAAATCAAGAACAGTTTGCGCGCAATTGTTTAACTTGTGAACATAGAATCGCGGTCAGCAAAAAAGAAGAAATAGATTCCTTGTGGCAAATGAGGTTGAACTATCAGTTCTATTGCAAGGGATTGTCCACCATGCTGTGCATTATGGCCTAAAACCAAGCTGTTGGTTTATCGCTCCCTTTAAGCTTATCCGGTTTGACGTATTTTTTATCACTGTTTGTTCTCCCTTGTTTATTCATTACCTTCGGGGTCTGTATAGTATAAGATATAGAAAATTCGAACATGACAACAATCTAATGTGTTGTATTTTAGCTAAAAGCAGTTGTTGTCAGACCATCGAGTAGATTTTCGAAGAAAGAGCTAGTCATAGGTACATTTCACAATGTCATTTGCAAAGAAATAGGATTTCCATGACGACCTATTAGCACTTGGTCGATCGGACGGGAGTTGAAGGGACCAATCAATGGAGGGAGCCGGTGGTGATGAGATCACATGACTGGTCCAGAATGCCGCTAAATGGGACTCTTATCATAGTGGCCTAGATAGTGCAGAGATCCCAGGAGGCTAATAGTAACATCTACAACGAAACCCACGATCTTGCACTACTCCTCGTTGCTCTTTCTCCTAAGAATACAACTCTTGAGCTGGGCCCAATCCATTCCAGGAAATTAGGGTGCATCTAAGCTGAGCGCATTGCAAGCACAGGCGTTATATAAGGTGAAGCTTTCGCGAGGAAAATGGGCAAGAACCAGTTGAGGCGGGCTAGGAAAAAGGCTCTTAAATCACAGGTATGATCTGTGCAATGCTTTATTGGAGAATTACTCACTTTTTGCATCAGGCGACTGAGACGTCCTCAAACACACCCCATGCGCAGGCCCAGGTCGATGAAAACATATCGCCAAGTATCTCCAAGGCTGCTAGTACAGAGCTACAAATCACGGTGTTCCCGGATTCTGCCGATCCACTATGGCAGATGTATAAGGATATCGTTGACAAATTTGAAGAACCCGAAGATGAAAAATCGAGTTTGAAGGAGCCTCCAAAACCAGAAATCTACTTTGACGATGATAATGAAATACCGGATGAGGAGGAGAAAGAATCTTCTATATCGAAACGGAAGCGAAAGGAATTAAACAAGCTTTCTGTCGCCGAACTGAAAGCGATGGTCCGAAGGCCTGAAATAGTCGAATGGACGGATACATCAGCCCCTGATCCTCGGTTGCTTGTCCATTTGAAGGCACAACGCAATGTTGTCCCCGTGCCTTCGCATTGGAATCTGAAACGGGAATACCTGTCTTCCAAGAGAGGTATAGAGAAGCCACCATTTGCTCTTCCCAAGTTCATCCAGGAAACCGGAATCTCGGAGATGCGCGATGCTGCATTGGAGAAACAGGAGCAGGCAACGTTGAAACAGAAACAGAGGGAGCGAGTTCAGCCGAAAATGGGAAGGTTGGACATTGATTATCAAAAACTATACGAGGCATTTTTCCGGTTCCAGACTAAGCCTGAGCTTACGCGGTATGGCGAAGTCTATTACGAGGGCAAAGAATACGAGACCAATCTTAGACACCTCCGGCCGGGTGAGTTGAGTGCTGAGCTGAAAGAGGCGCTTAATATGCCACCTGGCGCCCCTCCTCCTTGGTTAATCAATCAACAACGATACGGCCCGCCCCCTTCTTACCCGGCTCTGAAGATTCCAGGTCTCAATGCCCCTCCGCCCCCTGGCGCTATGTGGGGATATCATCCTGGAGGTTATGGAAAGCCTCCAGTCGATGAGCACAACAGACCTTTGTACGGTGGCGACATATTCGGTGTGCTACAACCTCAGCAATCCGTGCAGCAGGGCGAACCCGTTGAAAAAGACCTTTGGGGAGAATTGCAAGAACCAGATATCTCAGAGGATGAAAGCGAGGAAGAGGAGGAAGCAGACAGTGCGGATGATGATGATGATGATGTCGATGACGTTGAGGCAGGAGTGCAGACCCCAAGTGGATTAGAAACCCCCAGTGGGTTGGCTTCTGCTGTTCCATCTGAAATGACGGGTCCCGAGAATACTGCTGGTGAGTTCGACGTACGAAAGCACTATCGGGGAACTCAGACCGAAGAGTCGGTGGGCCAAAGAAGCGCTTTTCAAGTCATCCCAGAGAGACAGACGCAAGTACAGGGGTTTTTCGGTGCTGATAGGGCATATGACCTTGGTGCATCCTCGAACACTCTGCCTGTGCTCGGCTCTGATGACAGTGGCAAGAAACGCAAAAGGCCTGGAGACGTTGACGTATCTGTTGATCCCGATGCATTGCACGCGAACGATGGCATTGATCGAGAGGATATAAAAAGGTTATACGATTCCCAGAAAAAACAAAGCAATCCAGGCTGGGATTTTCAGGAGGATCTTAGCGACATGATTGCGCATGAGAGCCGAAAGAGGCTGAAATAGGCAGATGAATAAATAGCCATACTTCTTCCTGCTAATACGACTATTTGGACAGCTACCGGTTCTTTTCCATGGCTACTGCTTCAAATAGGTGTGTCATTCTCATGTGTTGAGGGGCGTTTACCATCATTTTGGTTGATCGGTGGGCTAATTAGTTAATTCATACACCTATGTTGGCCCCAACGGCAACTTATACAATGACATATGTCAAAAGGATTACCTGATGGTCTCTTCCACTCTTCCGTCACTTCTCTGTGGATGAAACAGCTGTTAGCTAAACTGTTTGTATCAATACTTTCTCCAGGGATTTCTAGCATAGAAGGACAAGAAATATGAGTTTTGTTAAGAAGTAGGGCAACCAGTGCCAACGGGTAGATACGATCTCTACAGGTCAGACATTTGATACAGAACTGCAAGTCATGTAATCCAAATAATATTATAACATTATATATTTCTATTATATTATATTGACTTTCCGGGCCTATAGAAAAACTAGGAGTGTAGTTAGAATAAAACAATAATTATTATATTTACTATAGAAAGGGTTAGATGTGCCCCAAGCTTATCCTAGCTGACTAGCTCTAATCTCTGTTTGAGGTGTTAGAGTAGAGCGGTCGGCTGGCTGTATATAATCTTGAGGAGTGCTCTACAGCAAGCAATGAAAGCAGTAATTAATTGAAAAGACACGAAGCAAAAAAGTAAGTTAAATTAAGCTATCTAAAAGAGTAAAATAAAGTAATATAAAAGATGTTTTATATAGGCGGTCTAAGCATAGTATACAATTATCTTACATAAATATTCTAATACAGCGTCCTAGACAAGTATATAGAAAGATATTAAATAAAATCATAATATTTTTTAAATAAGTAATTTTTTATCTAATATAATTATGTCTGGCAGACTGGCGTGTATATAAATATATTAAAAAATAATTATATTATCTTAGTAAAGATAATGATTTTTTAAATATAATATAAAATAAGTTTTTTTTATAAACTAATCTATTATTATAAATATAATATTATACCTGTATTTATCTGGCAGAAAAAAGTAGAAATTTATTAATATATATTACTAAGATCTGTCTGGTACTGGTAGTAGCTAGAATAGATTAAATAAAATTTTAATATATATTTTTTCACTAATAGATTATACAGTTTTGAATATAATTTTAGATATCTTTATTTTATATAAACTAGTAGTAATATTTCTTAACCAGGACATTTATCTTAGTAATACCTGGATAAATTATTAAAAATCATTAATAAATTTTATCTAATAATTAAATATGAAAATTACTATTGTTTAGCACAGCTAATCTATTTTTAAATTATAATAATTTTTCTTATAATATCTAGTCTTTGTTTTTTATTTTTATTTAATCTTAATAAATCTACAGTAATTCATAGCTATAATTAATTTATAATATTTAATTAATTATAATTAAAAATATTCTTTTTTTTAATTATTTTTATTGAAATATGATTTAATCATAATAATTTTTTATATCTTTTAGTATATTATGATAGTATATAAAAAGATTTATTAGAATATTATTTTTTTCTGGACAGTAACAGATCAGAAAATAAAATTATAATAAAAATTCAAATTATTATATTTATTAAATATTAAAATATTTACTAATTATAATTTTATTCCGCAGGGGCTATAATTTTGAAAAAATTTTAATTATTTTTTATTTTCTAGAAAAATATTCTAGTAATAATTTTATTTACTATATTTATTTCTAATCTTATTTCTGATACTAAATTATAAATTATTAGGATAAAAGCGCTGGTCAGAGTTTTTTTAAATAGTATAAATAGTATTAGTATTATATTAACTAATTAAATAAAATCTTATTTTTTATTAAATAGGTTAAAGATTAAGTAATTCAGTTATAATTTTTAATAAAGTAATAATAAAAATTATGAAATACCAGGAATAATTATATTTTCTATATTATTATAAATATTTTTTATAAAATAATTTTTTTAATTTTTATTTCTTAGAAATTAAT